CAAAGCAGAATAAGTGCGTCCATGCAAGGGGTTAGCACACACTGCATTAGCTGTTTCAGACTCTGTGCTAGGAAAAATACTGGCATTCTGCTTCTTCATCGCTCAAGCATAAGGATGCTTTTTGCCGGCCTGCAAGGTGTTGAAGATTACTGAATGAGCAGGGCTTTTAAAAAAGTGTCATAGAAGGACTAAGAGTCAGTCCCTTGCTTCAGTGCAGAGTATTTGGGGGTCTTGAAACAGGAGGCTATGACCTAATGAAAACCTGTTTGAGGCCTCCAGCTTGTTGATCAAGGAGTGGTGGGCACATATCATTTGGCAGTCAGCAAAATTTATATCCTCTGAGCAGAGAGTGTGGCTACAGTTCCTTCACACAGCACCTTCACTTCACTTCACAGTGTGTATCTGAGGTTAAGGGTGTCTTAGCTGTGCCCTGAGGATGTGGAGAGCAGAGCTAGGTGGTAGAGCAACTGCAGATCCAAAGAATCTAGAGGAGATGCGTAGATTCCCCTGTTAAGTCAGTGTAGATGAGCTATACGATGTGGTCAGTTTAATATAAATGGGACAGAAGCACAATTAGTCCAAGGCCTTTTATTGGACCACTGTTGTATTTGGTAGAGATAGTAGACAAACTTTTTTGTATACAAAACATCTTTCCTCCTGGCAGGGGAAAAAGTATTTAGGGCTAAATCAGTCTAATCAGTCAGAACAATCTTGGTTATTCTTATGTTAATTGATTCCTTAAAAGGGAAGTGAACAGTCAAGCTGTCAGTAGTTACAGACAAGGTAAAAAAATTGCTGCAGATAAACAAAATTAGGTAAAAGGATAAGACCATGTAGGAGGTAAGAGGGCTAATTCCCACCAGTAGAATTTGGGGAGAGTAGCAGAGAGCAGACAAGTAATAATGAGCCGTGACTCCTCCATTGTCTGTGTTAAGTCCATGGTTTTCAGTGTCCAGTAAAGTTTTATGTGTTTTTGGTCCCAGCTCTGTCTTCTGAGGGTATTGCGTACTTTTCCTTTGAGGAAGAGGACTGTAAGATCAGAGCCAGAGAGGTGGTTCTCCGGAAGTGTTCACCCACTGATTTTACCGTTCTTTATCATTCTTAGAGCTCATTTTGGATTGTAGTGGTTTTTTAGCTCCGTCCACGTAGTACATTTGATCAGGAATATCACTTTTTGTGAAAGGGTCCTTGGATGCTGATGGTTCTGTTTTTGGATGGTTCCGTGTTGATCATGCTGATGGTAAAGATGCAGTGGCAGGCTTTCCTTTTGGTATTTAGAAAGGTTTTTATTCCACTTTACGTCCTGCTCGGTGGAGCACAGACTGTCTTCATTGCGCACAGAGGTGAAGTGCAAACAAAAATAAAGAAACTTCTCCCACAAAAGAGGGGACCCTTTCTTTCAGGGTGGATTTGATTTAAATAAAATTGATTTAAATCACTGGTCAGGAAGCCTCAATTTAATCACTGGTTAGGTAACCACGTCTCTTATCTCTCACTCCATATACTGCTGTTAACAAGGATGTTCTCTGGAGACACAAACCCATGGTTTGAGAACTGAAAGCATCACAGAGATGCTTCATGGGATCTTCTGGACTGAGCACGGGGTCCCATTGGGTAGAGTGGCTTTCTTTAATCTTTACTTAATCTATAGAGGAGCCTCTGGGAACCCCATAAGATTGAGCCCCTAATATAGTCCATGGCCTGTTGTGATCTGTTTATAAAACTTTTCTAAAAATGTAACATGAATATACTGTCTCAAATAGTATATAGTTAGAAGTTATAACCCCTATTCCATGATGATATATTTTAGCTGTAACATCTAAAATTAAAACTATCTATGTATAGGTTTGGTTTTTTTAAAAGCATCTTTAAAAACGTACGATTAAATTAAAAAACCCATTTTTTTTTTTAAATTGATTTTTTTTCCACCCTGCTTTCTTTGTGGTTTTTGTAAGTCCATACAACATACTCTAACCCTACCTTAAAGCTACTTTTATTTGTGACCTATTAGACATTTCTAAAACTTGAGTAATCCCGTACATGGCAAAGATAGCACCAGATGACTTGTAAGAGACCTGCAGATGGAGTTATGAAAATGTATAGACTTCAGAAATACATAGTGAATGCCCTGAGTCAGATGCTGAATGCTCCTCTTAGTCTAGGTATTAGCTTAAGAGCCTTGAAATAAGAGTTGCCTGGTTCAGAACTTTTCTAAAAGCTGTTGAATTTCTGACATTTTCCTTTCATCACTTCAGTATTTCCTTTCTAAGCAATTTATTCCAGGGCGTTATTTTTTCCTTCATTCTGTGTAGTGAAACAAGAAGAGATTAGATAAGGCTGAAGACCAGAAGGCAATCACTAAAGAAGTCCTCCCTCCTCCTCCTAGATTTTTCCCCTGAATAAGAGACCTGCGGAGTCTTAACTCCATAAGACATGGAGAAAAAACAGCTTTTTTCATCCCTCTCTCCCAAAAGATGCTAAGATTTTAAATTATACTAGAATACTTCTGTAGCTAGAACTCTTCAGTTATGGAATAATGTTCCAGGAGAAACAGTGGACATGGGTTTTCTTGAAACTTGTAAGATGATCTAGGGTAGCAATTCTTAACCAAGATGCTGCAATGGCCCTTTTAGGGTGCTACACAGTATTAGCACTATTAAGTATTCAAACACTTGCACATGATTCATAAGATAAATACAGATATTTCAAATAGGAATCCCTAGTGTCAAAAAAATTCTGCTCTCTTGCGAGCTTCCTGGTTGTTTGCTACAAAGAATTGGTGTATTATTTTTCAGTAGTCAAACAATGATTGAAAGCTAAGAGCTGGCATTTTCCAAGAGATGCCCTTATTTTAACAAAGATGAGAACCACTGCTCTAGTGAGCTTGGCATAGACTGGAGGGGATGGACATGACCTGCTAGTTCTCTTCTACACCAGTAACTATATGAATTTTTCTTACGCGTGTGTTCACAGGCTGGCCTACAGTGTTCACACTGATTGTGTAAAACTACATATTTAGAATTTGCTCTCCCAGCAGTCCCGCTAGACCGAAAAGGAGTCTTCCACTTTACAGGTGGAAGCTGAAGTGAATCGCCCATTGCGCGCAAACAACTTCCATCATTTGCGGCCCATTCAGTGCTTTAACCTGAAGCCAAAGTCTCTCCACTTGGCAGATACTTAACACAATACGACTGGAAATATCATGCACACTCCTGCTTTAAGCATCTACTTTTGATTCTCTTGGCTTCACTGCTGTTATTTCCAAAGGCTCTAAATGTCCGGGGAGAAGGTCTATACTGACATATAAAAGCTTGAGTGTGGGCACATTAGTTATGCATAGGAAAACTGGAACAGTTGGACACAGCCGTTCAGTCCGCTTCTGTTCCACACAAAAGGCTGGCTGGTTCCTAGCCAGCTGGCTAGCAAAACAAAATGTGTTTCTTCGTGTACCCCATTTTTTTTAACATAGCCTCAGTCTTGTGTTTCTGTGACCCTGGTGTTCTCAAAGGCTGTAAAAATTGCCACACTGCAGCGAGCACTACAAAAAGAATGTGCATTTGATCCCAAAGAAACGGGAGCCTTGTGGGAATCTGTGATTTTTACGATGCCAGCCTGACTTTGGCACAGCACATTCCCAAACTAGCTTTGTAGCCTCCCTCTTTTTCCCCTTCACCCCATAGAAAAAGCCCATGCTTTGCCCACCTGATTGGAAACGGAGTGTGGTGGGGAAAGCTGGGTTGCCAAGCAGCAAAGAAGGAGCATTGTGTTCGGTTCAGGTTCAGTGAATAGCCTCAGTGTTCAGAGGAGCTGAGGAATTTTGAATGCCAAGTTGAGTGAGTCACAAAAGTCTTGCGGGGGGGGGGGCATTTGCTGCTGTTGCTGCTTCAGACATCTTATTTGGGGTCAACTGAGTAAGAACTGGTGGTTTTCCTGAGTGTGTGGTTTTTTTAGAATGCTCAGTAATCCTGAGACCATCTTCCCCCACCACACACTCAACCCCCATAAGCCCCCTTCCTTTCTAGAAATATATAGGACCAAATTCTGCTGTTGCACCTGCATAATTGAAGCACCTGCAGCATATGCTAGTAAGTGTGATGTAAGCAAGGACACGTTGGCTTAGGGTCTTATCTCCATCTTCTGTTTAGTAATGTTGATAAATCAGCAGCAGTTGCTCTTGTGGTAGCTCTTGCTTTCCATGTTGGTACTTGGACGTGATACAGCTAATCTCCTCTGAATAAAGATAATAAACTGGCGGTGCTTTGGAACGTAGGTCTCTTGTATCGCAGTGCAAACTCTGCTGCTAAAATGTGCAATAAGCACTTTGCTCAGATTTGTCACACAGTTAATAGTTGAGCGATTATTCTTCACCAGTTTATTCCCTGTACCACTCTTCCCTACTCATCTCTGCGATCTAGACAGCTTTGGGATCTGTCAAACAGTTTGCACAGCATCTTGTTTCCAGTCATGGAGCTTTGTCATTCAGGACGTTGCAATCCTGTTACAGACTGAATGAAATCAGCCTTCAGGATATATGGGAGGTGCATACACTGTGGCCTTGCATAGTTGGCTGTTAAAGTGCTCTGCATCCTTGGCTGTAGTGGTGGGGATCCTACTCAGGCATGGGGTGGCAAACACTGTCAGTGGCCAGTTACCAGTTTTGAATCTGTGGCCGGATCCCATGGAGTCTAGGCTTTGGTCATGGTTGTAAGAGATGTTGTGTCACAGTTCTCACTGGAGTCTGCAAGCATTTTCAGAGCTTCCAAAAATGATGCTCTTAATTCCTCAATAAAATTGTAATTCTGGCTTTTGAAAGAGAATAGATAAGTGTTGGACAGCTTTCTCAAAATCAAACATTGCTATGTATTGGATGTTTTACATTCCAGTTTTCCTTTTATTGTCTAACTGTTCCAGTGTGTGGACATGCAAACAAATGACTGTGGTGTGCGAGTCAAAAGCTTATTTTGCTAATTTTTTTCTTTTGTTTTTTTTTGTGCCCTCAGGAGTTTGCAGAATTAGAGAAGAGAGATCCCCAGGAGCTAGTTGGTAAGTTTACACAATTCTGTTTAAAGCACATACATAGACCACTTTCTCTTTTTTCCCCCCTTTTTTGAAGAGCGTCTCAGATTTCTTTGGTTCACCCAATCTCTGGCTTATCATCTGTGCTTTGTTTAATCTCACTAGAATATTTTCAGTGACTTCCTCTGTTGCTCCTCTGTTTCCCTTGAACTTTGGAAGGGAGATAACCAAGCCTGAAATGTGTGAAAATATTTTTATATGTTCCTGGCATCTCGTGTAGGGAAAACACATGGAATATTTTTAAATTCTTCTGGAAAATAGAAAGTAACAGCAGTGACTAAAGCAGCCTGTTTTGGAACCTACATAATATGTAAAGAGGAGGAGGTGTTAGAGGCATAGTTACTGAAAAGAGATGCCCTCAAAAACACACCATGGGTAGATTTATTTTGTTTCAGATATAGATATACATATAGATATACGTGTATCAACACATGGATTTCATATGCAGTCAGCACCTTAATGCAGCAATCCCTATACTTTGTATCATACTTTCCATGTCAGTTTTGCAGTCCTAATTTACAGAAACTTGCAAATCTTAAGTGCTCGCTTTACCAGGGACAGGAGGGGAAAAGAATCTGTTTTTACTTGCTGGTCAAGCACTTATTCTTTGAGTAAATAGACCTGATATAAACAGTATGGCATGGCACTCTACACATTGCTCTGTGTGTGTGGCTGTTTAAAAAGCACCATTGTATTTCAGTCTCAAGTGCTAAATATCCTCTCTTGTTTTTAAAAAAGACCTTCTTACTTGCAAGTACTAGTATACCTGAATGGTAGATTACAATGATGTTGGCATAATTAGTTAATAAAATGGTAAATTGAAGGTTGTAGAGCAAGTTCTTTGGACAGTTCCATTATTTGTCTAGCCTTATTATACCTTTGCCTTGGTATCATACCCAGGCGCATATACCTTAAGATCGTAAGCTAGAAGTAGGAGATGGAGAAAGTAAGTACACGTAGAACTGTGATTTTAGACAGAGATATGTATAGAGAGAGGGGGAGAGAGGGTTTTTTTCACAGCACTAGATTTTATTTTCCAGCTTTTGCCTTTTTAAAAGATTCAGACCCCTGATTTTGCCTTGACGAAGCTCTGATGTTGAATAGCTGGGAATGTGAATTCCAGCCTTGGTAAACCTTTGCATTCTGGGAGGGAAGTGCTGCCGTTTTTTTTATTCAGCATAACCAATGCATTTTTCTGAACAGCTCCTCCTCCGGTGCACAGCATCCTAAATGGGATTGAAGCAAGAGCAGCAAACTAAATCTGAGGGTGCTTCTCTAGTCCTAGGAAAAGAAGGGAAATTCCTTGCTGAATGTTTCAGAACATGCAGATAGGAAAATAAGAATGAAGCAGAATTTGGGGCAGTCACATGGTAAAAATTCATTTCTTGTCCAAAATATGAGACAAGGTAAAATATCCTGACCTACCAGGTCTCTCCAAAGACTGCTCCAGACACATTCTGTGA